ATATTTCAACATTTATGGAAAAGAGTTCATTTCTTTTACAAAACACTCCAGCAAATCAATAAGAAAAACACCAACAACCTGGTAGAAAAATCACAAAGAACAGAAAGAAGTTCAGAGATAAATACAAATTGTAAGATATAAAACAATTCTTAATCTACTCATAATTATGAAGTTGCAAAATAAAGAGTTAATGAAGTGTTATTTTTCTTGTCATATTGGCATAGATTAAAAGTTAGATATTGACCAGTATTAGAGGGTAAAGAAAAACAAGACACCCATGCATGAAGATGTAGGTTTAAAGATGCTAATTGCTGCATTGTTTTTAATAGCAAAACAAAGCAAAGTAAAAACAGATATGTAACTTAACTGTGCTTTATTAGAGAGGTATCAGTGGAATGGAAATGGGTAAGCCTTTTTACCATAGTCTCACTGAGTCATTGATGGAACCACAATTGGCCCAAAAGCTGAGGCTCACCTTAAAAGCCAGAGGCTGTCAGCTCATCGTGTCCCTTGGAATTGGGCAAGGAGTTCTTTCTTGAAGTGGGACCTTGGTGATTCAGAAGAGTAAGCTCATATGATGCCATTTGTATATAAAGGTTATTCATACACATGCATTTATATATACAAAGAAAATGGTTAATAATATTGTCCTGAGTAGTAGGGTTGGGAGGAGAATATTGGGTCTTTAATATCCTTTTGTGCTGTAAAAATATTTTAGTAAGTGCATGAATAGCTTTTATACTAGTATCAAAAGTTCTTGATGAATTTAGAAATAGTTTCCAAGCTTTACTGAGACCCTTCCTAGTTAGAGGCCACATCCGATATACTCAGAATTTCTTAGACCTTCACCTGCTCACAGGCCTTCCCAAATTCTCCTGCCTAAGTTATTTCCCTGCCCTATTTCAATCATTTTCTATGCAATTATCCTGTTTTATTTTTCTTTAGGTTTGTAGACCTCATTTCCAGTATGGAATTTGGGTTTCCCCCACTACCAATAAACAATGCTCCCAGACGCCAGTTTAAGGTCCTGCAATTCAACTCAATTCTGACACTATCTACCCGGAGATAGCATCAGACTCCACAGGTTAAGGATTCAGTACTACAAGACTGCCTGTTCCTAATACCTCAACCTGCCTCCTGCCCCATTGCAGAGGCCAGTTGCAAGCCCAGGTTGTAACCAGTGTTTCTAACCAGCTGGCTGCAGATTAAAGGTTCCCATGACCTCCTTCTGGGGTTCCCTTAATTTGCTGTAGTGGCTCACAAAACTCAGAGAAACATTTAACTACTTGATCATGGGTTTCTTATAAAAGGTTATGTTGTGGGCACAATGCTGCAGGCCGGTGATGCTGGTTGGTAGAAGAATTACCAGAGATCAAGGAGAGTTTAGGAGAGTTTAATAGGTACACTGCTATAAGCAGTGGCGGGCCACACAGGCAAGAGGTGCCTTGTATGAGCACCAAGGGTGGGTGTGCAGAGTCTTTTATTAGGAGAGGAGTAGGGACTGCATGATCAATTTGTGCACAAGTACCTGATTGGTTGTAAGATCAGTCAGGGACTTCTCTGAACAATAGGTTTTATGACTTTGATAAGGGCAGGATGTGAGGCCTGTCTGCCTAAGGTATTGTAAGATGGGCTATTTCTTGAGGCAGTTTAGCTTTGTTAGGGTAAACATGCATCGAGAAGATATTTTATATCTTGTAGAAATGCAGGTATGTGAAGGATTCTGCAGTGGGTAGTGGGGGTTAAGGTGTCAGTAGGCCCCAGGCACAGAGAGAGCCCAGGGGAGGGGCTTTTATGACTCTAGAGAGCGCCAGCCAGCCGGCTCCACAGGTTACATACAACTCTGTAAACTCAGTAACAGCTGGATGGAAGAGATGCATAAGACAAGGTGTGGGGAAAGGGCACGGAGCTTCCGTGCCTCCTAGGAGCACACCACTCTCCCTAAATCTCCATGTGTTTATCAACTCAGAAGCTCTCCAAACTCCTCCTTTGGGTCTTTTATGGAGGCTTCATTACGTAGGCACTATTGATGAAATCGATTAAATCTTTGGCCATTGGTGATTGAACTCAGTCCTCCGCCTTTCTCCCCTCCCTGGAGGTCAGAGAGTAGGACTGAAAGTTCCAACCCTCTAACCAGGGGTTGGCTCCACTGGCACCAGCCCCCATCCTTAGGTGCTTTTAAAAAGTGGTCTTATTAACATAACAAAAGACACCTTTATCACTCTTAGCACTTAAAAATTTCAAGGATTTTGGGAGTTGTGAGCCATTATGAAGGAAAAACAAATATATATAAGAAATATATATATTTGGTCATCTGAATGACCAAATATATATTTTTCTTATAAATCACAATATAATTTTATTCATAACAATTCTCATTATCTGAAATTCTTATTTGTTTGCTTCTGTGTTAATTCCCTGCCTCCCTCAATACGTAATCAGCTCCAAGAGGGCAGGGTTTAACTACCTGAATTGTTTACTGCCTCAGCTTCTAATAGAGTGCCTGGTACATAAGTAAGTGGTCAATAAATATTTATTGAATAATTGAATTAATTACAAGCAATATTAAAAAGAACTGGGGCTACATGTTGTCTCATTTCATTTAGAATATAAATTGAATTTCTCCAGCTTGGAAACTTGGCTTCATTCTCTCTTCTTCCTTTAATACAACACACCAGTAGTACCTGCTATGTAGAAAAGCCATGATATCTGTGAGACATAACAGAGTAAATAATGTCTATCTTGTCCTCATGAAGCTTAAAATTGATAGGACAGGCCATTTTTAATCAGCCAACCATCAGTAGAGGGGTCCCTGAATCTTAAAAGACCAGGCAGGGATGAGGATGAGAGAAGTGGTTCTTGTCTCATTTGCTAGTGAGGTGCAGAGGAGTTTCTGCTCCCCAACACTGGAAGACAGGATCCTAGAATCCACCATCACATCAAGTCTCCTGGGATTTACCCCCATGTGGCAATGATTCTGATATGCTATCCCTCTTCTGCCAGTGTTTCTCACACACATGGTTTCTATGGTTCCCCTGAATCTCTGATGCCTGGGAGGGACCCCTGCCATGTATGCCAGCTGGCTTGTGGGCCCTGTGTTCTCACCTCATTTCTGCCAACCCTGTTTTAGAGATCTGGGCCTGGTTCCCATTTTATCCAGTCTTATCTCTGAGAGCATTTTCTGAACACAGTCGTCCTCAGAACGGGAAAAGAAATATAATCAGGATACAGCAGCTTTTTAATACTCATTGGAGTCTCTGTCTCGAAATTTCCACTATTAGAGACTCATTTCTTTGAATTAATACATTAGCTTCTTTTGGAATTCAAATGCCTCTGGTAATAAAGGGGGGCACATAAAAACATTAAAACAATAAAGAGGAAGAAAACCAAACAATTAAAACCTTAGTGTGAAAATATGAATCAGGCATTTGGATAATAGGCTATCAGAAGTGAAAGGGGCATATACACACACACACACACACACACACACACACACACACACACACACACACACACACACACACATATATGCATATATATATATGTACTTTAAAAAAAAGTTACCCTTCCTTTTTGTTTTACAGAGAGGACACTGAACCCTGGGAAACAGTGGCTTGGCTAAGGTCACAACAAAGTTTCTTGAATCCCCACTTCTTTGGAATTTGAAGGGTAGCTCTTGTCAACTGTTAGGTGGCGATCTTCTAGGCTAGCAGTCAACAGGCTGTGACACTGAGCACGTAGGTTGGTATCATGAAGAACCATGTTTCTGAAGGCCCTTTTCAGTCGTGCAGCAGTTAAGGGCTTGGGTTCCACTTTGGGCAACATAGATTTAGCTTTTGCTTCGCTGTGTGAATTAGGCAAGTAACACTATATTTAAGTTGCAATATATTCACCTGTAAGAGACAGATGGTGATAGTATCTGCTTCATAAAGTTGGTGTAAAGATTAAATGAGCTAAAGTAGGAAAAGCATATAAGCAAAGTCCTTGGCTCATAGTAGGTACTTCATAAACACTGGCTGTTAAAAGTGAGTGATTAAAGATAAGGTTTACCCACTTTACGGTGTTATGAAGGGCTCACTCCCCCAATGTTTGGAAGGTTCCTGCAGCCACCTAGCTTCTCATCCACACTGTTTTTCTGCATCTCAGTTTTCACAGCTTCAAAATGAATAGATGATTCATTTTCCCTACCTTCCTCCCAAGAATATCTCATTTTTTAATAAAACAGTTAAACTTAGATGGGACGGTCCTTGGGCATCTTCATATCCATATTAGAGAATATGGAAGGGCTGAGGAATGTGAGAGAAGCAATAGAAATGGTAGAGTTTTGAGATACTTAAAGTTACCACCCACTTATTTCCCCTGGTTTCGATTGGCTGAAATGTAGCATGGATTGAAACCTGAACATTTGGAAGGCCACTGTGTTCCCTGGAAACTCTCCCCTGAGATTTGGAGGTTAGGGGAAGGTTCAGTGTGGTTCTGGTATGCTCCATCCAGCTCTCTAATTCATCTCAAAGATCCAAGAGGGATACAGAGTGTATGTAGCTGACTTACCCCAGCAAAGGAGATGGGCTTAGACCTTACTCCAAAAGAAATCAGCTTTTTATCCAAAATAAAAAAAAAATTCCATACGCTCAGAGGAAAAGCAGCCTTAGGGCTTAGACATTCAAGTGAAAAGACTGTCATGACAATAAGTCATCTTTGTGGCTTTCCCAGTCACTTATTCCTCTCATAACAGCCTCAGTTTCTCTGAAGGGCCATGATACCACCCAGGGGTTTGAAAATGCAGATTCCTGAGCTCTACCCTACAGAGAGTTTGATTAGATAGATCTGGAGTAGGCTTCAGAATAAGAATTTTTAATAAGCACCTTAACCTGATTCTGACTCAAGGGATCATTTGAACCACACTTAGGTGTATATTAAAGAAAATACATGCACATAAACCCCTGAGTCAGAAAGTTAACATAACCCACCTCTCTAATATTTTTAACTCCTTTTTGCAGGAACCACTCATTTTACTTGGAGCTGAGATATGATTTCATTGCCTGGGAAATTGAATAGAATAGAACCAGAGGATTTTGAAAGCAGCTTCTAATTTCAAAATATCATATTGGAAGGAAAAAAAAGGTAAAAATAGTTTGCTACCATTTTTGTAACAAAGAAAAAGAAATTATAATACACATACATGTATGCAAATATCTTCAAAGGGAAATATAAGATCATTAACACAGGAAGTATAGAAATTGGTTGACTATTGGGGATGGGTGGAAATAAAGCAATAATAGAATGATATTTTCTAAGTTTACCTTTCAATCTAGTTTTGACTTTTAAACCACAGTAATATTTTGCATATTCAAAAACATTTATCAAACGTGTAAAATCTAGAAATTGAATACAAATAGAAACACATGAATTTAACTATATTTCAAACTGATAATATGAACACAAAGAAGCAAACCCAGAATTAGAGTAAATTTTGAACACTGTACTCTGAATACATCCCACCTTCAGTGGGATACCTTCTAAAGACAAAAAGAAACTATTGGTGGTGAAACAGTTTGAAACGATTTTGTGTGTATTGCAGAATTAAGCAAACGAGAAAATATATTAGTGTTTGGAGGGCATGGAGTTCTTACGGTAGGAGAGTGGTAAAAAAATGTGGAAAGGGGGAAAGAGAACCTGTTGTATTGAATTGTAATTGGAAGTTTCAGTACAAACTCATAACTTTATCAAAATATATATTTTCTTGCTAGGTACAAAGAAAGAGCTTAGAAGCAATTATATGTTAGCAGTAATGAATGTACTTATCATCCTGATCTTGGTTTCTAACTCCCATTTTCCATTCAAAGGAACCAGAGCTCCCTGGAAAACTGATTCTAAGTTGGGGGCAATGAAGTACAAGGTGGACCAGGAGCACTGAGTTGAATCAAAAAGTAAAGAAATGCTCAAACACACATAGGAAAATGTCAAAGAACATGAATGCCAGCTTAAAGGGGCTTCCACTGACCAAATTTGAGACAACTAGAATATCAGTATAAATAATGTCAGGAATGGTTTACAGTAAAACTCTGTGAGTCCATAGTGGTATCCAGAACAGTGGGGGTAGATGGAGAAAAGAAAGAAGCAGATTTCTACAGGACAATAGCAACTCATAAAGGGAGAAGTAATGTACAATGATTATTTTCTAAGGTTGTCAATGACTACTGTAATAACTGATCCAAACAAAAACTATCAAAGTGTGCTAAAACCATTGTGTAAAATGTTGGTCTTATAATCACCCAGTTTCAGAACTATTTATTAATTGCAGAGGGAACATACTACATTTACAATGGAGAAATCTGACAGTATCAACTTAACCAAATGATCGAGCCTACTAATCACTGAGTTTGACAAACTGGCAACATGTGCCTCCTGATGTGATGTACTATGAAGGACACATCCTGCCAAAAATGTCTAACCTTATCCTAATCATGAGGAAGCAATCAGAAAACTCCAAACTGAGAAAGAGTCTGCAAAAACAACTGGTCTGGACACTTCAAAATGTCAGTGTCTTAAAAGTTAAAAAAAAGGCTAGGCATGGTTCTAGAATACAAATTATTAAAGAGATACGATGAATAAACAATGCATAATTCTTGATTGAATCCTGGATTTATTATAAAGCTTTTAAGACATTTTTGGAGCAATTTGAGAAATTTGAACATAGATTTTATACTGTATAATATTAGTTATCAAGGCTAAAATTTTCTGAAGATGATAAATTCCATTGTGGCTGTGTAGGAGAATGACCTTGTTCTCAGGAGATACATACTACAGCATTGTGGTGTCTACCACTTAATAATTCCCCAAAAAGAAGGAAAATAAAAGACAAAGCAAATGTGGCAAAATGTTAACAATTGGTGAATCTTGCAAAATAGTATCAGGTGCTCATTTTATTACTAGTGCAACTTTTCTGTAGGCTTGAAATTTTTCAAAATAAAAAGTTGGAGGGTGAGGGTGGGGTGTAGCTGAGTGATAGAGTGCGTGAAGCTCAGTGATAGAATGCGTGCTTGGCATGCACAAGGCCTGGGGTTCAATTCCCAGGATCTTCATTAAAAAAAATTTGGAAGTAAGGGAGGGGGCAAAAATGCAACCAGTATTAGTTGCCAGAATGGTGTGGTGTATATACTTCCACTTATCTCTTACTGGGAGGGGCATGCACCTGTTAATAGCTACATTCCTTAGTTCACTTCCCTCTGCAGTCTGGCTGCCTCCCTTCCGCCTCTCTCTCCTCACCAGGATGCACTTAGGTACAATAGTGAGGAGAGGAGGAGGAGTTTGGAGAGCGTTCCTGTATTACCATCTCAGAGGGATAGTCCCACTTCAAGCACCTCTCCAAAGGGCTAATGGCCTACAGAGCCTGATTACCATCCTGGGATAAGTTCAATTTTTTTTTTTATGGTAGCAATTTGTTACACCAGTTTGCCACTTGCCTGCTGCTTCCTCGTTAATCCAATAATCTATATGAGAAAAGCAATTTGACGTACCTCCTTCCCATCTGCCACCCATCATCCAATCTATATCTTAACTATTAGTGATTTATTAATGGTGCCTGCTTTAAGCACATCTCTGCTCCATTGGCGCCCTCCTTCTCAGACTCTCGCTTGGATAAACTCTCTGGATATGTTAGAAGGCAAACTCAGCATGATGATTAAAAGCAATAACAGAATAATAAACTGAGCTTCAGTTCCAGGAGTTGCTCCTTTTAAACAGTTAGCATTTATGCACATCCACACACTAAGTAGATTCATTTCAGAGCCGGTCTTAAGAAATGTGGAAAACTAGGATATTTCTCATGTTTTTCATGCTGTCCCCAACCTTGCTTTTTTTTAAAGCCGGTTGAAGTTTGTCATTGGAACCTGCAAACAGACAGTGATAGCATTGCCTCTGTGCCCCAAGGGAAAGTTGCATTCCTCATCCCCAACCTCCTGGATGTCCATTCTCTTGAACTGAGGGCCTGTGTGAGCCCTGGACCCAGAACTCTTTCCTGCAGAGACCAAAGGGGCAGGTAGTTATTGGCTAGATGTACTGAAGCAGCTCTGAAGAAGGAACTTTGTTCTCGAAGGTGTGAGCCTGGTTCTCTGCACATCAGGGCATTATTTGTGATTGCTGAGCTTCATTTTTCTCAATTTACCCTGGCTTACCCAGAACAAAGTCTCTAGGATGACACTCCCAGGGGAAGGATATAATGGAGTTGGGTGGTCTGAAAATGATGGCGTATAGCAATGCCTGCTGTCTGCTGTGGGCTGAACACGCCATTCACTTTGACTCTGTGCTATTCTTTGCTTATAGAAGCTTGATGCACATGGCCCAACCTAAAACCTATGGTAAGAGAAGAAACATGGTCATGGGATGGAAATATCAGGAACCTATCACTAACACTATCTATTTGCAGTTTCCACATAGTGGGAATCCAGACTGCATAGTGGTTAGCTCATTGGCTGAGAAGTGAATTCTGGTTCTGCAAACTCCTATCTCTCTGTTCAATAGCAAGTTTATAAATCTGTAAAATGGGGCTGCTATCACTACTACATAAGGTGGTGGTCAAGAGTAATAATGATTAATCAGTAAATTGTTTTTATTCTCCTTTTCTCATCAGTGTGATCTGATTTTTAATTCTGCAGTGAATTTTTTTATAAACAATTTTTCTTGTGTGTCTGTTAAGTGCCCCAGGAGTCCTAGTTGCATTTACTTTTTATCCTTCGTTCTATTTGCATTAGACTGACTTGCTTCGCTTATTTGGCTACTCTCTGCCTAACATTCCTGATATGTCCATTCCAGACAGTGGCCTTGAATGCTCTGCTGGGTGAATGAAATATAGCTTGTGGTGTGAGACTGAACTGCCAATAAACGGAGGGGCACTTTGCTGACCCCATGGGTTTTAAGAAAAGGAAAATAAAAAAGGAGTCAGCAGGACTTTACAGTCTACATTTAACATTTCTATTCTGCCAAAGTCAAGGGTGGCATCTTATCATCCTTTTAAGCTTACCTAGCAATGTGCTTATAATAAGGCAACAGTTCTGAACAGCTGGTATGTTCCATTTCACAAGTGACTAAATCTAATAATTTTGCATAGCAGTTGTTGGTATAAATATTTTATCCTTGCAAGTAAATACCAATTGGCAAAGGGTATAAATTGTCTGATTTCATTTCTTTTCTCCTCATGGAACTCAGCGTGGTGCACTGTACTCAGTAAGTGCTGGATAAATGCTTGAGGAGCAGGTGACTGTGGTGTCAGCTTGCAGAATGATAACATATTTTACTCTGATTTATTTTCCTTTGAGCTGTTTTCTCTCAAAAGTCTATTATGAAACTTTTTCCTTCATTCGAGTTGCATTGCTTTCTAAAGAAAACTTCTCCCTCCATCTTTACTTAATTAACAGCCCTTCCAGTACTTTTTTTTCTTTCTCTGTGACAGTTTCCCACTATTGTCTGTTTGCAGCTGTTACATGGTTGAGGAACTGAGTAGACATGCTAATGGGAGCCTGGTGTGTAGGAGGAGCACCTCTAAATTCTCCTGGACTGGCCATGCAGCCTATTCCTACTTACTATTTCTAAAATAAGCCTCTAGTTGGCACTAGGGGATGGGTTATTTCCAGTTTCTTTCTGTGGAGGAAGTGCTTGCTTGGACTAGCTATCTGTGTTTCTATTTAAGCACAAATAAACATGTTGCTGCTCCCACACTCCTTAGGTCTACACCACACTTCAAATTGCTTGATCCAACCATGCTCACAAACTCATCCAGATGACTAGAAACCAGTTGTGATTTCTGTGTTTATTTCAATTAATCAGTTAATCTGGCAAATTATCTTGAGGGTTTTTGTTTGTTTGTTTGCCCACATCCAGTCTCTCCCTGTGTTGGTCTTAGATGAATTCTCTAGAAAACTGGGTCATTATGTCACTGAATGCAGTTGATCTTTGTAATTGTCTTTAGAACTCTTGTGGCTGAAATTGAACAACTCTGTCAAGGAATTTTGAGCACTTCATTGTTTATTTATTCTTTCCAGGAGCTTTGAGGAAATGATACTGATCGCCCCCTTTCCAAAAGAGGTTACATAGGTGTCTGAATTTCCTAGCATCTAGGATGACAA